TGGCTTTATGTGTGTGATCTGCAGCAAACAGTACTGCAGCTTGACCCCTGAAACAGTGCATCTGTGTGCGGGAGTGAAAGTAATAATTTACTGAAAAGATTGTGATGGCCAGGTGATCTGAGTATAATGCAGACTACAGATTACACTCATTGATAACTGATTTCTTCTTCACTTCATGATCGTGTATCTTTTTATAATAATTTAGCAGAGAAAGGCAGGGAACTAGATTAGATCTAGAATCTAGTCTAGAATCTAGATATCTAATTGCACTGATTGTTGTGAATTTGCGTCAGATCTTGAAGAGACTTCTCTCTAGATTAGACCTCTAGTCTCTAGGTCTAGATTTTAGAACTAGATCAAGACTTAGATCGATCTGTAGCGTTTCTACAGAGTTGTTATTCTATAGAAAACCTAGCCGTGGCGTGGTGCGGCAGGTCGAATCTTGCTTTGAATTTGAATCCATTTGTTGACATTATCATGAAGAGCCGGATCATCAACATGCTCTTTTATCATGTGAATCACTTGATTCAGGGGAACTAAAGTCCACAACCGGCTTCCGCCCGAAGCCTCTAGGATCCCCCTACTTGTTCTTCACACGGTCCATGAGCGCTGATAAACAGTCGTGTTCAAATTAAAGAAATACTAACTACTCACTTCGTTTGGGCTCCGCGGCGTTTCAACAACAAAGGATGCGTGTCAAGCTGCCACCGTTGTGCGAGAACGAAAATGAAAGTTGGCGGAGTATCGCAACATCGGTACTCAGGATCAAAGAGTAAATATAGTATCGAGTACATCTTCTCGTGCCATATATTTTTCCGCTGCCTTGTGGAAATACTCTTGTCACGGAAGTCAAGATCTGAAGGCAGGCCAGGGGAGTACCCTTATATTTGGGCAATATATGCTATATTTTCCTTTATGCCTACCGTCCTAACAAAGCTGTATCATGCACGCTGTATTAAATAGGCTACTTTTCGTCTGTCTAGATAGTGTAAACACAGTAGTAACATCTTCGCCTAAGATCCCGCCGCTTATGATCCCGCTGCTGTTTTGAGAAAACATAATTTTTACTACACAAAAGTCACCCCTAAGATCACACTCTGGTTCGCTCTGAAGGTCTAGACCTATATTCGGCTGAGATCCCGCATTTAAGATTATAATTTACGGAACAATTAGGTTTAACCCAGGCGGGCACAGCCGGTCAACCAAGAGTGAAAAGTTGAGATCATTGAACGTATACCCATCGCCTCATAGATCAGCTACTCTCCTGAACGGGATCACGTGTGCGTTGTAAAACTCGATGAAACGGTAAGCTGCAGTGTTTGCCCCAGACGGGATCACACCGAGGTGTGAACTCGCCGACGCTTTTGTTTTCCCTAAACATCGCACTCGCATCTGGTTACATCACACGCTGGGTGGGTTTGGTTGGGCCTACAAGTTCACCCCAGGCGAGATCACAT